GCTGCATCCTGTTGGCAAATCTTATATTTTTTAATGCTTTTGCATACCATAGAACCAACTTTTTAAGTTGAAACAGCTGACTAAATTCTTTTATTCCCTTAACATGGGGAACTACAGAGCCATTGGGATGGAGCCCGAAAGGGTTTTTGAGATAAGAATAGGTCTATATGTTAATCGGGAATGTGAGCTACCGTCATGCCAAATTTCAGCCCAATCCGTCCGGTAGTTAATGCGTGATTGAACTTCAAACAAACAAACACACAAACTTTCACATTTTATAATATTAGTAAGATAATGTAGGCCTACTAAACACTTAATATCTTAGTGTTTACAAATATTTATCAATAAACAGATAGGGCAACTTAACTATTTCTCTGTGATATATCCATAGTCAACAATAAAAAATTAGTCTGTAATTTTCGAACTTGACTTTTACTGTGTGAAATATTCATTCGCTGTATTAGGCTATATAATGCAAAGAAAAATCAATACTGTAATACTAAAACTGTTATATATTTTTCTTTTCTAAACGTTATTATCTGAGGCCGTATAACCGAAAACTCGACTCCAAAAATATGTACGGAATTCTATATTTTCACCCCACGCTGTAAATAAAGCAGGTGATTGGAGTTTCTTCAATTTGTTTTGATTTCCTGTTTATATTTTGTGGTTATTTCGTCACCTACATAGCAACTTATAAGGCCCATGTTAATTTTAAACACATTTTTTAAATTTATGTTTTGTACGTATTTTTAACCTATTTTTATTTATAAATGGATTCTGCACACATACAGGCAAATATATTTCTAACAGTATGCGTAGATGATACCTGGTAGGCTAAAATCAAGGTTAAAATAGGGTAGGTTAGTGTGCCTGCGATGCACACGAGCTGAAAAAAGGGTTTCAAGAAACCTGCTTGCCTATATAGGATATATATTTTTTATGTTACAGATTATAATAAAGTTACTTGGTAATTTCACAAGCATAGCCTCAGCAAACAGGTATTCCAATAATTAAAACTCATTGAACGAAGGTCTATTCTATAGCTTAAGTTTCTATAGTCTCTCGACTATAATTGCCGGACGCGTGGTTAAATATTATCACAACCTGGTCGTGTGTAAATTTGATTAGAAAGTAAATTAAACTAAGAGAATATGCTAGGGATTATTGATTATTTCCAGAGTATTAAAAACTCGAGTTAATACATAGAGGAACTATTGAAATATTCCAAAATGGATAAAAGCTGTCGGGGTTTTCAGAATTACATTATTTCAAACAGAAAAGGAATTAATTTTAAAAACTTAATATTTTTACGGAGATTTTTTAAAATTTGAAACTGGCGAATCAGAATATGTTGATTAAAATTGATATTTCCAAGGTTGGATAAAAAAGGGGATTTTTATGAAACATGTTGTCTCTAAATTTAGCCGTTACTTAAAGGAAAAACTCCATAAGAAACGATAGAAAACCGTGCATTGAAACTTAATAAACATACTTAAATTGACGTATGATTGATTTTTAGAACGAGGTATATTTTGTGCAGTAAAAACAATCGAGGAAATCTATTGTTGTCACAAACGTATTACAAGTTGTGCTTTATATCAAACACACACTGATTTAAGGTACTCAACAATGAAAGTATTGACTTTGGAACGCTACAGCAAAACCTCAAGTATATCCATTGACATCGATCACAAACGAAATGAAAATGTTTAGTCTTTAATTGGGAAAAGGATTTTATCTTCATTTATTTATACAAATTTTATCAGTATTTGATCGTGTACAGATTATTTCAATACTATAACTATATATGAGTACGTGAGTTTAAAATACCTGCTGATATTATCTATCTATCTATATATTTTTTGTCGACAGAACTCCTCCGTGGTTTCTCTTCCGATTTTGTTAGTTTATGGCCCATTGGAAGGATCTCATTCAGTAGGATCTCATGTCATATAAGGTCTTACATGTTGAAAAAGTCACTTGGGCTCTGCCTAACTGTATAACTTTATGCGGTGAGTCAGAAAACATTTGTAGAAAACACTAAAAACAAGGCCAGCTTCTGAAAAATTATCCAAGAAATGATGATTATATCGATCTGTTATGAACAGCTTGATTATTTCCATTAATTACATAGCCTTTTTGCCTTTTAGTTGAGTCTTTTTAACTCGTTGAAAATTACGACTGTTATTTTAAAATAACTCATGATAATACAGGTATACTTGCCAATTGCTCGATTTTGAGCAACAGGTACACTAGTTTTGACCAAACTATTAACCTGATATACAGTATAGAGTAATGTATTAAGCTGACTGTGCATTGTCAAGATTAAAACCAATTGGTATAAACTGGTATAATCTTTTATGACGGTATAGACTTAATTGAAGTTTCCGTACAGTACTTATAAACGCAACACGGGTTTTACATAGTTTAATTCGGGTTCCAACGTCATATGTATTTCCACAAAAAAGTATCTCCTATTAATTTACTGATCTAATTTACTTAGTATAGTTATTTAGTATTCAACTCCAATCCAATTGTTATTTTTAGGCAGTCTCCTTAAATAAAAAAAACATTAAAATTAAAAATCCATATAATTACTGCTTTTAAAAACTATTAATAACCGGATATGGTTTGGTTCTTAATTCTTAAGGCGAAAAAGTATGTCAAACAGTGATTTTTCCAATCTAATTGTTTATTACATGTTCTTTTAACGTAACGTAATCCGTAACGTAAACGTATCCGCTGAATCAAGCGTAATTATTTTTTAAGGTTACACAGATGGTACACAAGTCTTGTTTTTATTTTTTAAGCAACATTATGCGAATTGACTGATCAATGAATTAACAGTGAAAAAATGAGATTCTTTTGAACTATGTATATAACTTACATAAACTACACACTGGTAGATAAATCAAAGTCCATAGGATAAACTAAATAAAATCAGGATAATATTCTTGAACTTGTTAAGCACACTAAAAAATCCTTTCTTATTTTTAACGAAAAAAATCATTAAGGCTAATTATAACCTTGATTTAAATTAAAACTGTTCAAACCATTCTTAATTTAAGTATACTCAATTACTAAAATTAATTTAGATAAAACTATTTAAATGTGGGAATTGTTATTCACCAACCAATATTCAATCATTTAGTTAGAAAAGAGAAAAAGAAATAGTCCTAGGTGTCTGGTGGCGTAATCTTATAAACCTTTTGGGACGCTAGTGTTCATTAATTTGTCTTAAGATTCGAAACCAGACACATCTATAATTAAAAAGTGAACTACTTTAATAGTTAAACAATAAGCCGATCCGGTCCCCACAGTTAAAAAAAAACTACTACATATTTTGTTATAGCCTCTTTTTATGTGCTCATGTCACAACAAACTTGATACAGTACATACAAGCTCGTGTGTCCGTGTTAGAATGGGAAATACGGTTCTGTAAATGTAGGCGCACCGTTTATTAAATTATTTAAAGACTTCAAATATCCTTTTGCTGTTGTACAACGGGTCATTTAAACTATACATAACGTTAAACACTATTAACCCCTGTGAAATTGTTTAAGTCTTTGTCATACAATCGTAACCGCTTGATACAAGATAGTTATAACATGAGAATTATTGAAAGATATGCGAGCAAGTAAATCTCTCTCTCATCCTTTCCTCCACCAGGGTAAAGATTGTTAATATTCTCTTACTTAATTAAAAATATGGCTGCTTATCATATTTTCACCTTCCAAGAAATATATGGAGATGCTTAAATTAAGAATGAATCTTATATGAAGTAAAACAAGTTTAATGTAATGTTAAGCTAGCCGTTCAAGTTCAAGTGTAGTTGTATATTTGTATATACGTTAGAAATACATACATAAAAATAATATTTGGTAGTTTTGATAAGGATTTTTTAAAATTATTTTAACGATAAGTTAGTGACACAAGGTTAATATGGTGTACTGCCATACATTGCAAAAGATATCCTCATTAAAAGATTGGATAAGGTAGGTTTAAAGGTGTTGTGTTAAAGGTGATTTCGGTTTATTGGATATTTGATCCCATCTTTATCACTTTGTAATCTTAAATTGAAAGAAAAATCATTGTTTTGCGACAGTTAAGTTCAGGCAGTAGTATATTTTAGATTATCCTTATATTTTTGTTTTAATAGTTATAAGCAAACATAATGTTGTCGGATTGTTAAAGCTGTGTATGTATTAGGCCTATCTTGTATTATATAGTTTGATGCTTTTATTTATTTGTGGTCCATTATTCTTGTTATATACTTATATTTTAACTAAAGAATCAACAAAATAACTAATATTTTAACAAAATTGCCATTCACTTGCATTTTTTTTGTAACTCAACCCCTATTTTGTTGTTCACGAATGTGGTTAGCAAAATATACACTCAGCTTAAAAGCTGTAAGATAAAATAAAAATATGTTCAATATCAAACATATCGACATTATTATGTAGTGTTAATATCCCACTCTAAATTAACACACGGATCTTATAAACGTTCCGCAACTATAAAAAACTAGATGGGAAATTATGTATCAAGTTTAAATTAATAGCACGATAATTTTATTTTTATTACCTGGTATGCCTGCTACCTGGACAAGGACTTTATTTATTCTTTATTATATCAAACTAGTTTTTGCTTCACAGTTATATTATAAAAAACCGAATCGATCAAAATCAATTTGTAATAAGAAACTTACAAGCTTTATTTTAAAATTTAGTAACACAACTCGTAATATTTGTAGATATTGTGTAGATATAGAAAGGTTATAGTTTGGAGCTAATATTTTGAATAAATTAAATAAAAAAAATGTATTAATATTTGTTCAAGTACGTGTTCAAACACTATCGAAACATCAAGGCTCCCAAAATAATCACCTACAACGGGCAAACATACCGCAACTTTACAAAACAAGAAAGAAAAATTATGTATTTTCATACATATATTCTTAATGATGAAACATTATTTTTCATGAGTTGGTATACCTGCTATCTGGTTGAGGCCGACTGCCAACAACAGCAGTACGACGACAGCTGCCGGGGTGGCCATGGTAGATACTGTGATGAGCGGCTCGCAGAGACAGCCTAAGTCATACCCCGCCCCCGCCTTCAAACCACCCCTCCCCCCAATGCAACCCCACACATACCCCCTGCGTTACTTTATAATTTCCTATTCACCGTCATTTCCTCACGTCTTATCACCTAGTGTTCCAATCATCTGTCTTCGCGGATTAACAGTGACAAGTGTGCTATCTCGAATTGATAACGGGCTAAAATTGAAACGTGTAAAAATAACTGGAACTACCTACTGGGGTGTGCATGGGGATTTACGTACGATTTGAGTGTTCAATTTATTGATATATTCTAAAGATGGTTTTATTCTGAACGCTATTAGTGATACCAATAATTAGCAAAAGGTCATGCTATTAATAATGGCTAAATCATACTTAGTCAAATAATCCCTGACACGATAACTTGCCGCACGTTTCGAAGGTTACTCAAAACTTGTTCATTTGTTACTAAAGGTTCCACTTCTTGAGGTGCCACCAGGACCATATATATTTTACACTGTTTAAACGTAAAATAAAACCCCATAGTTTTTTAACGTGTTTCTCTTTCGGCGTGTAGGATCGGAAGCAGAAGTTCGGCCGCTTAGAAAACGACCTGCGCGCTAATGCTAAACCAATGCTGGAGGAGGTCGCTTTCTAAGCGGCCGAACTATTACAGAATAATAATAACTGGGAAAATACAACAGACGCATGGTAAACAAGTGATTTATCAGTTTAATGATCTACTAATTAACAATAAGAGTAAATAAAAAAAAAACATCCTTATATATAATACGTGAAGGTGATTTCTACGAAACACTACTCCTCCGTTAATAATGAACGGATTTTTACAAATGACGTGCCAAAATAAAGCATTTTTTGTGTAGACGCCCCCTTTCACCAATTCCTGTAATAAAAGTCCTCGGACTTTGCCCCACAGGCCATCGAAATCCCAATGTATTTCTTGTGAAGAAAATATTTTGTTTACATAAACAGACGAATAATTTGTATTAATTGCATCTGTTTATAGTAAACACATGATGAACACAAGAGCTTTTGTTTTTAGAGTGATCTCGTTTTCAGTTTCGATTACTGGAGTCGGATTGATTACATTATCTTGGAGTTGACTCTTTTACATAGGAAATTATGAATGTTAGTGTTATTCGTTTTGAAATAACACCTATAATACTTTGCAATCGCTCGAATTCGAGCAACAGGTGCACTAGTATTATATATACGGTGCAAGGCAGGTACACTGAATAATGGTACAAGTTAATTTTGGGCAAGCATTAAAGAAAAAAGTAATTTATGAGAAATACAGTCTTTAAATTGTTTTGTAATGTATTTTTTGTATTTACTGTTCTATAAAATCAGAAATGCGGATTAGGGAACTTTAAGTCTGATCCCTCTAAAACAGAACTCCAACGTAGCTCACTACACGGTGATTAGTTCAAATATAACAATATTTCTAAGACAATCTAGAATTTTTCCAAGCAATGGTTTGACCAAATTCTAAAAGTACCAAGGTATTAGCTTTGACTATTAATACAACAACTTCAAAATTAATACAACTTCTGTATCCAATAGTCAATGGTATTAGTTAAATATTAAATTAAATTAACAATACAGACGATGATGAAGTGTAGATCTTTGATATAACCAGTGACATACATATCTTAGAAGAATAAACAATATGACGTTAAAGGAAAAACTTCTCTATTTATTTTTTGAAAAACTAATAAACCACTATGTATCCGGTGTTTTAGGATAGAGAAATCGATCTCGTTTATTTTGGATGTCTTCCGTCTGGACAGTTTTATTTTTTAATGCAATATTTCCTTACAAATTGTTCCTTACAATTTGTATGTCAATATTTTAGTTATAAGACGTTAGTTGTTTAACTGCTACTACGTGTTATAAAGAAATCCATAAAATGAAATTTTTGGAGCTACTTTGTGGAATCAATTATATTTTTAAATTAATTTATTAATGTTTGTTTTAATATATGCTCAAACACTAGTGAACATCTTAAGCCCCCAAAAATTATCAACTAAAGCCCCCGCAAACATTCCGAAATTTACAAAACAAGGAAAAATTATGTGTTTTCATACATATATATGAAAACTATTTTTTCATGAGTTGGTATACCTGCTACTGTATCTGGTCTTTTGGTACACTGATTCTAGCAGCATGCAAACTTAATGTTACGCAACTCGTTTTTTTCTGCTGCTTTTAATAAAGCCTTCATAGCCAGCAAAATAAATGCCTTCGTCGAGATTCACGAGGCTAATAAATTATATTTATTATTGTTGGTTTTGTTCTAGAAATGCAAGCCAAACGGGACCGCGTCTCGTTGTCCCTCCGTCTAGTTGTACCTACGTCTACTTGTACCTCGAGGCCTAGGGACAACTAGTCGTAGGTACAACTAGACGTAGGTACAAGTAGACGGTGGCACACCCGACTAGTTGTACCTGCAGATTTTTAGGAGGTACAACTAGACGTAGGTACAAGTAGACGTAGGTACAACTAGACGTGTATCCCACCGACAAGTAGTATCACCTAGCTTGCACGGATGCGACCAGTTGTCCCTACGACTAGTAGTCCCTACGACTAGTGGTCCCTCCGTCTAGTGGTCCCTACGTCTAGTTGTACCTACGACTAGTTGTACATACGCGTATTTTGCGTCCTTATAGTCTAGTTGTACCTATCCTTCAATTCGTTACCCTGTTTAGTTGATTACTGCACGAGTACTTTTTAATAATACCCGTAATTAAATCAGGACTGCAGTGTTCCGAGTCAATTGAGTATGATTTGCAAATGTTTTTCACCGCACTTGGATGCTGAAAGCTACGCATTGCTGTCCAGCGTCGAAATGGCAGCTATAGTCGTAATTATAATTTTCCAGCCCTAGTACCGAAAATCGCTTATTTAATTAAAACATTTATATATATCATTAAATATACAAGCAGTATATCCTTAATCAATTGCAATAGACCGCTGCCTAGCAATTGTGTATTTTACTATTTTTGCTGATTCCTTTAAATATTTTTTCACATAACCTTAAAGTAGTTGCATTGATTAGTGTGCATTTCTTATAGTTTACAATGGATTTCCCAGTGAACAATGAACAATAAAGTGTACAATGAAGTTGAGGTCCAGCGGTTGAAAACTCGACAAAAACGAACTCTAAGACAATAACACCTATACTTCTCTATTTAACATACACTGTAAATAATACATGTGATTGGAATATTTTCCATTTGTTTTGATTTTATTTTTATAATTAGTTGTTATTTCGTCACCAGCATAGCAACCCGTTAAACCCAAGTTAGTTTTTAAAAGTTTGTAATTATTTTTTTATGTCTTTTTAGTCTATTTTAATTTATAAAGGCATTCTGTAGATCGACAGAAAAATACATTTCCACCGAAATGCGGATATTTTCTCTGTGATGTTCACGATCTGATAAAAAGGTTGTAAAGAAACATGCTTGCCTATATTATTTTTTTCTATTTTTTTTTTATTTGGAAAATCTCAAAAATCTTACAACATTTTATAAACAAAGCTTGCTGCAAAAGCCAGGAGAAATTGGCTTTTGCATTTTTGCAATTGCACATACCATGCATTGACTAGCTGTTGTACTCGTGCTTTGTAACGGGAAGAGAACACGAAATAGAAACATTTTGATCTTTACATCTGTTGATAAAATAGTTACACATAAGCCTTTTAAAAACAAAATTATGCCTTTATGGCCTTTAATAGGATAGCTGTTGTCATAAATGTAAAAAAATAATAGTACTGCACCCTGTTGGTAAACCTTGTAACTTTTTAATGCTATTCAATATCATATAACCAACTTGTGTTGTTGAAACAGCTGACAAAATTCTTTTATTCCTTTTAAATACGATTACTCATAAGGTTAACATGGGAAACCCCAGAGCCACTGGGGCGGAGCCCGAAAGGACTTTAAGAATGCGTCTATATGTTAATCGGGAATGTGAGCTATCATCATACCAAATTTCAGCCCAATCCGACCAGTATTTTTCGAGTTTACTTGTCACAAACATACATCCATCCATACATCCAAACTTTCTCATTTATAATACAGTACTAGCTGTGTACCCGTTCTACGCACGGGGATCTTATAATATTCAGTTGAAACCTTCTTATATAACGAACAGCAGTTGGTTTGCATATTTTAAGATATGCTGGCCAAACTATTATACATAGCTTCATTTTATGTTGTTTTTTGTTGTTCCGGATCGGTATGACAATCAATAAAAGGTTAAATTACCTCTGTGTCTGCCGGTCGATCCTATAACGGTAGGCTTACTTTTATTTTTACTATCTGATCTCGTTTGCATGGCTCAATCACGTCCTGGTTGAAGTTCGTTCGCTACGCTCACTCACCTGTATGTTGGAGCTCGTTCGCTGCGCTCACTTTCCTTCAGGTTAGCTCGTTCGCTACGCTCACTTGCCTTCAGGTTAGCTCGTTCGCTACGCTCACTCGCCTCCAGGTTGCAAATTAGCTGTTGTCATAAATGTAAAAGAAATAATAGTGCTAGTGCTGCACCCTGTTGGTAATCCTTGTAACTTTAATGCTATTGAACATCACAGAACAGAACCAACTTGTTTAATTGAAACAGCTGTTAAGATTCAATAATTTCATTTCTCATAAGGTTAACATGGGCTTCCAGAAATTCCACGTCAAAAATCGACAAAAACTTGATTTTCAAGGGTTTACTGTTAAATATCTAACTGTCTCATATTCGATGAAATACGTCTAAAACCATCTCATATATGTATAGTATTTGGAAAATAAGTTTCAGGCGGGACAGTGCTATAGTTATTGAGGAGTAGTTGTAATAAAGTGCGTATTTTAGCGTTACCAAGAGAATGACAGATAGACAGACAGACAGACAGACAGACAGACAGACAGAAATTGAGATAAGGTTTGATTCGGTTTCTCTGACCTATGAAATGTAAAAATAACCAAAAAGTTCATTATTCTAAGCAATGTACAGACAAAACTCTAATTTTAT